TGTCTGTGTACAAACACTACACGACAGTCTTGATCGACCATGTACTAATATAGTTTCAGCCTTCGTCAGACAGGTGAGTGTTTGGTAAGAAGATATCAGTTTGTTTGTCTGTGTACAAACACTACACGACAGTCTTGATCGACCATGTACTAATATAGTTTCAGCCTTCGTCAGACAGGTAAGTGTTTGGTAAGATGCTACCAGTTTGTTTGTCTGTGTACAAACACTACACGACAGTCTTGATCGACCATGTACTAATATAGTTTCAGCCTTCGTCAGACAGGTGAGTGTTTGGTAAGATGTTATCAGTTTGTTTGTCTGTGTACAAACACTACACGACAGTCTTGATCGACCATGTACTAATATAGTTTCAACCTTCGTCAGACATGTGAGTGTTTGGGAAGAAGTTACCAGTTTGTTTGTCTGTGTACAAACACTACACGACATTGATCGACCATGTACTAATATAGTTTCAGCCTTCGTCAGACAGGTGAGTGTTTGGTAAGATGTTGTCAGTTTGTTTGTCTTTGTACAAACACTACACGACAGTCTTGATCGACCATGTACTAATATAGTTTCAGCCTTCGTCAGACAGGTAAGTGCTCAGTATTTTTATTTTATTTGTAAGGATTTCATCTTTTTTACATTTAATATATTTTTGTATTTTATGTTACTCGCTGAGTCTATGTTCTTACATTAGAAATATTTTTACAGTCAATGATACGCATGTTTAAATGAAATCAGAGATAGCAATGTCCAGATTTTGTAAAAATATATTCTGAGTGGTGTAATTTCAGCCATTTAGTTGTTGTTTGAAATTAAGCACAAAGCTACACATTGGGTTATCCGTGCTCTGCCCACCACGGGTATCGAAACCCGGTTTCTAGCGTTGTAAGTCCATAGACATTCCGCTGTGCCACTGGGGGGCCAGCCATTTAGACTTTAGTATATATATATATATCATACTCACATTCTGAGAAGAAAAAAGTTATCACCGTGTATTAAAGTTGTCCGTTACCAAAGAACTGGCAAAAATTAATTACAAACTATCCAAATAACTTCTTGGGATTAAACCTATGAACATCTTTAACCAGTGATAAACTTTTGTATTGTTTGTTCTACATCTCCTGCACAATTTGGACATTTCATCTTTGATGAATAGATGTCCCTGAAAGAAAAACGTACTGGTATTTTATGACCCCATAAAAAAATTTAAAAAATTTGTACCATCGTCAGTACCTTTGTGTATACTAAATACATGTTATAAAGTAGAATAACTTTGTAGTAGCCTTGTATCTATTTTTAGGACACGTACTCTACTACTCTGTAGAAATAACATCAACACTACAACACTCCTTACAAAAATTATACAAGGACATAGCAGTCAGCTGCATACAAATAGAATAAAATAGCTATTTCTGATTTTTTTTTGGAAAGTATGAACTCAAAAACTCAAAATTGAGCCACGTAATGACCATATTTTAGAATCAGAAGGTCTAAGTTATGCATAAAAGTCCCAATACGGGCCTAAGTTATGCATAAAAGTCCCAATACGAAAGTTAATAACCATATTTTAGAATCAGAAGGTCTAAGTTATGCATAAAAGTCCCAATACGAAAGTTAATAACCATATTTTAGAATCAGAAGGTCTAAGTTATGCATAAAAGTCTCAATATGAAAGTTAATAACCATATTTTTGAATCAAGAGGTCTAAGTTATGCATAAAAGTCCCAATACGAAAGTTAATAACCATATTTTAGAATCAAAAGGTCTAAGTTATGCATAAAAGTCCCAATACGAAAGTTTACTCCAAAATTCCTTTTGATTTATATCCAGTACTCGTTTCAAGAAATCCATCTAGTCTATGTAATTTGGTGTACATTTAAAGAAGGCAACACTTTAATTAATGCTTCTTCTTCTTGTAAAAAATATAAGAACAATGTATACCTTAACATGAAAACACATATGAAGATAAATTGTGGTATTACAGTAAGTGGCATTAAAAATCTGGTTATACAATATACATTGTTCGTTGGTAATGGCGGCATGGCGGTGCGCCCAGGTGAGCTACATATTCAGTTTTTTGTTGTTGTTGTTCTATTCTCGGTATATTTCATCCTTCTAAAAGATGTAATACGTGTTAATTTTTCACTTACTTGGTATTTAAAAGTCCTGAAGCCTCCGAATCAGAAGTTACACTAACCTACGCCAAAACCAGCACTGTGTCTAGAAACATTACATATGGTTCTTCAGAGAACATTCTAAAAAATTTGGGAGGTTCTTTTTGGTCCAAAGTGGAACTCATTTCATGTGTAACTTTAGTGTTCAGGAACGAAAACTAATTTCCGAAATATGTAATGGTTATTATTACTTTATATTTACTACAAATTATCATTTCTATTAAATTTCCTCTGATAAGTATGAAAATGTTATTTCTACATGTATGCACATTGTTACCAAATCAGTTATATAACGAGAGGCCATCGTCAAAGAAAAGAGAATATGCATGTTAATAGGCGAACGAAACGCCGGTGGGAGTGTGTGTGAATAGCGTTGTTTCTCACCCCCCACTTCCCGAACCCCCATGATTATGAGTTTGTTTTTAGACGTAGTTCAATATGTATTCTAAATGCAGGTTACGTTGTAAGTGTACATTCATTCTGTATTCTAAATGCAGGTTACGTTGTAAGTGTACATTCATTCTGTATTGGTTCTAAATGCAGGTTACTTTGTAAGTGTACATTATAGAACCAATACAGAATGTACACTTACAACGTAACCTGCATTTAGAACACACATACAGACTGTACACTTACAACGTGACCTGCATTTAGAACCCACATACAGAATGTACACTTACAACGTAACCCGCGTATAGAACCAATACAGACGCAGGTTACGTTGTAAGTGTACATCTATTATGTGTGTTCTATACGCAGGTTACGTTGTAAGTGTACATCCATTATGTGTGTTCTATACGCAGGTTACGTTGTAAATGTACATCCATTATGTGTGTTCTAAATGCAGGTCACGTTGTAAGTGTACATTCATTATGTGTGTTTTATACACAGGTTACGTTGTAAGTGTACATCCATTATGTGTGTTCTATACGCAGGTTACGTTGTAAGTGTACATCCATTATGTGTGTTCTATACGCAGGTTACGTTGTAAGTGTACATTCATTATGTCTGTTCTATACGCAGGTTACATTGTAAGTGTACATTCTGTATGTGTGTGTTCTAAATGCAGGTTACGTTGTAAGTGTACATCCATTATGTGTGTTCTATACGCAGGTTACGTTGTAAGTGTACATCCATTATGTGTGTTCTATACGCAGATCACGTTGTAAGTGTACATTCATTATGTGTGTTCTATACGCAGGTTACTTGTAAGTGTACATTCATTATGTGTGTTCTATACGCAGGTTACGTTGTAAGTGTACATTCATTATGTGTGTTTTATACGCAGGTTACGTTGTAAGTGTACATTCTGTATGGTTAGTCTATTTATGTGTATCTGTAGAGTAAAAAATGTTCTTCGTTGCATTTAGGTGTTTCTGTTGGGGAACTAAATTTCAACTCATAAAAATCGAGGTAACAGGGTAGTGGGTACTGGTAAATACATGTGTAAACGCTTACAGTGTAGCAATGAAACTATTATTGTATTTTCCGCACAAAAACTTGTATTGATCGTATTTCCTGCTGGTATTGTAATATGATTTGATTATCTTGGCATTTAAGATTTAAATAGTTTTAGGTACAGTTTAACTGCACTGTCTGCTGCTATAATTAGTAAGTTGAATTGTATGATTCAGATCAAGTGTAATAGCTTTACATACAAAGTCTTATATTCCAGAGCTTTTCCTGAGGATTTTTTTCAACTGCACAATTATAATTTAACTTCATCATTTTTTAAATACATGACGCCTTCTTGCTCCTCGTATATACATGAAGGCCTAGTAACAAATGATCCAAAAAATGTAGAATATTCTGGTAAATACTTTTATTTATCAACTCTGGAGTGGATTTTTATAATCTTAAATATATTTTATTATTATTGACCACTTTAACTTACTTATATAGGTGAATTTTCGGCACAAATATTTTTACAGGTGCACAGTTTGTGATCAACTGCTCACTTGGAAAACCCCTGTTATATTCTGTCGTACTATTTTACTATTGAATTTTATAATACATTTCAAGACGCAGTTCAGAAATAACGTATGGCTGCAGTTATATTTCAGATTCAACCTGCGAAAACCTTTAGAAACTACCGAATACTATGTAGCACGTGGCTCTCACGCGCTCAGTAGATTCAACCAATACTACAGAAGTGTTTCATTGTTTAGTGTTTATAGATTAGTTCCTTTGTCACCTTGTTAACGGAATCACGGATAGTTTTTCGGGTATGGCCTAGAGGACCCAATATTCTGTCCGGCGCCAAAATATAATTTGCTGTTCAACGGTACACTCCGCTTGAAATGGGACGTAGGAAGGGGGAGGGTGTGTGCAAAAGGTGGTGGTATTGGAGTTTTGCTTTTCAAAACAGGTACCTGTTGAACGTCTAGCCGTCTAATACTAGCTCCAGACACCTGCCTACGGTGAAATGCGCGCGCATCTCGTGCCACGTCTTCAGGTTCGCAGACCAATCGGTACGTGGGACAGATCGTTAATACGCTATGGAAGTGACTTCTAAAGTAGAAAGAGCACAGAACAGCGATTCGGGTTTTAGTGGTAGGGTTGTAGCACAGGTATAAGGGCTTTAATTTTTTTTTTCACACTGGGAAAACGGTAGTAGGAATCTTTTCTCTTCTCGGGCGATGGCGGTACGATATGCGGTGGTGGTGTACGTGGTGACAGCCGGGCTTCACGGGGAAAACTTGGGAGCTGACGAGCAAGAGGTGGTCCTCTTCTCTTGGTTAGTGGTGGACCTAGTTAACACCAAGGTAAGCAAAGCTGCTCTTCCAACCACGCGCTGTTCGGCTGGTGCGCCGTCACCTTTACCAAACACTAAGCTTTGAAAAACGTAGAATGTATTTGTATAATCTAAACAGTAACAATTTAACACTCATCGCGTTTGTGTTACTTAGTTTGCACTTAAAAATGTTTGACTAGTTACGTAGTTTGAGAAAATATTTAAAATCTTGTTTTAAGCTTTATCACAAAACTTATTGTTTCCCCCTTTTTTTGGCACATCACACAGCATTCAGCGGTTTTCTATCTATACACTATTACCTTCATTCTTCTGTCAAGGAGGAAAAAATGATATACAGGAAAACTTTCACCTTCGAAAGAAACTAATACATATATATTTCATTTTTAAAATACTTAAAATTGCTTTGTGAATGTTCACAGTGCTTTTTTTTCAGCTCAAAAATTACCACACTCGTTAAACTCTATAGGTGAATATAATCTTTACTCGCCTTGTGGAACTGATAAAAATAAAAATAAAAAAAACCTTTGTTATTAGTTGCCACGTCCATCATCAGCTGTTAGGCTTAGTCGACCTCCGCTCAAAACAGGTGGTTAGATTTTCTTCAACCAATCAATGCTCTAGTAGCGCGTGCGACGAACGACGCAACAGGTTCGAGGTGCGGCAGCGACGTGAAACAACAATATGTGTGCATTATCAATTGAAGATTCCTGTACTCCATTAAACAAATATTACTATCAAAAATCGTAAGTGTTAATAAGAACTTTTTCATGCAGACGATTTCAAAGCCATTAAACTTGACCGGGTCGAACACGAGGCTTTTGCTGTTACTCAAACATCAGTTTATTAGTTTTTGTTTAGTTTCACAATCCATTTTCATTTCTCGGACAATGTGTGTTAAACGAAACTTTAAACAGTTGCTAAATTACGTTTGTTTAGTTTTGGCTAACTTTTTGTTCTATTATCATTCATAAGTTAATAACGCCGTGTGTTTGATATATGAAAGCTGGAAAGGAGGAAGTGAAAAGTTTTATTAAGCGTAATTGGTAAACTTTTGTTACAAACCAGAGTTAAAGCACGTTTACTTTAATAATTTCAACTTTCCAAAAAATAACAAGTTCTAACGGTAACCTCAATGACATGTGATTAACTGAGTCAACATGAACTTTATTTGAAATAAAAGTTGTTGTTTTTCCATACAGTTTCAAATGTACATAAAATAATTAATTTTGATAAACATGAAATACAGAATCATATAAAAAAATAAATATTGGTAACACCAATGATTAAAGAGAAGTCTTCTTAAGCCTATGTAACAGACTCTTTGTTACATATAAAGTTAACTTTTCATTACGTTTTGAAGTCTCTAGAATATATATATATTTTTTTTCGCTCTTTGACTTATTTCCCTATCATGGTAAGTTTCTTGCCATTGGCTGCTTTACTGGTGTCGTCATGCGAGAAGAACTTTAATGGTATTGGTAACTGTATTATCTTATTTTATTTCTGGACACAACTTCTCTGACAAGTTTTTATTCCAAATTCATTTCTCGCCAAAACTGTATTTCTTCAATATTTATCACTTGACTCAAAAGTTTCTATTCGTTATGTTTCCTGATGTGTTTGTGTTTTTATTTCAAGTTAAAAATATACTTTACACCTTCCATTGTAGGGGACTTAAAAGTCTTCAAAGATCATTTTCTACCTTCGTTCTTGAGGATTGATCTGCCTTGCTGTTTTGACTATTTCTGTAGTTTCAGTATAACTACTTCCTATTTTCAACATTTTTTTTCAGTTTCTTATTTACCCTGTAACACTTGGCCCTCTATCTCTTCACTCGTTCTTTCTCTCTTTTTCTGAGCTGTATATCCTAAAATACTTTCACCGCTGACTTCACATTGTGCTTTTTTATATTCTTCTTCTTCTTGAAGCCTTTTCAAATCTACAATTATTTTGATTTATTCGCCACCATTTTCTTTGGCGTCTTCGTTCTGTTTTAATACGTTAAGCCAATGGTTTATAATTTCTTTTGTAAGATTCTCATTTCTTCTTTAAACATAACTTCCTTTTCTTTTCTGAATCTTAATTTTGCTCTGTTCTTCCGCATTTGTCCAGCTTACTACGCTAAAAATCGGGTTTCAATACTCGTGATGAACAAACAACATGTGAAGCTTTAATCTTCGCAACAAACCAAACCAATCTAGGTCAAAACCTTTTTGAAAAAAAAAGAAGAGAGGATGTGTTGAATACATCATTTAGGTTACAATTTAAATGGTAAGCCAGATGCAACGTTGCTATTATACCAATATATTCATAACAAATCTAATAGATTAAAGTGTTTAGATGATCTATACTTAATAAACTGTGGTGATCTAAATGACTGTTATGAAACATCTCACCTGAATTCTTATTAATTTTGGACGAAAAATTAAACATATACACGCTATCTTCAAACTAGCCTTCATCTTGTTTTTACACTTATAATGCTGCCCTCTGTGGACATTTTACTTTAATAAAAACAGCAACAAACAAACAAACAACAATCACTGGAAAAACGTTTTCTAATATTTTCAGATATTGTAACCCAAATGACACTTTTTGAGTGGAATACTTTCAGAATTTGTTTTTATTACTAAACAAAGAGTAGACTAAATGAAACTTTCAAATTAATATTCCTGGAAGTTTTCGTGCACGAATTAAATTTTTATCTTTAAAATTAGATTATTCCCTTACTTCAAATACATAATATGTAATTGTGGAAAGATAAATAATCTCCCCCCCCCCAAAAAAAAATACTTGTTCAGACCTCAAAATTCTCATATAGAAGTCATCGTAGCGACAAGAATTTAGAAAATAAGTTGGGAAGACCTACGATTAACTGTTTATTTGATGTGTGTTTTATATATTCACAGTTAGATATAAATTTTCTGATGGACTCAAAGGGGTTGGTTGTTTGAGCTGTAATTTGTACATTACCAAAATAGGGGAAAAGTGTTCGAATAACCTAATATATTGTTTTGTCGATAAATAAAAACTGTGCTTTGGAAACAAATCTCTCATAATCAGTTGGTAAAACAAACTATAGACCAAATGGGTGAGAGAAAATTATGGGATTGACAAACTTGTTCATACTCAGCATTTACATATTATTTTGTAAGTCTTCAGTTACGCCGTAGATGGTTATAATGGTGTATTAAACAGTTTACTACTCTGTTGCTGTAATTAGTTAAAATGTTGTATTAAACAGTTTATTGCTCTGTTGTTTTAGTTGGTTATAATGGTGTATTGAACAATTTACTACACTGTTGTTGTAGTTGGTTATAATGGTGTATTAAACAGTTTACTACTCTGTTGCTGTAATTGGTTAAAATGTTATATTAAACAGTTTATTGCTCTGTTGTTGTAGTTGGTTATAATGGTGTATTAAACAGTTTATTGCTCTGTTGTTTTAGTTGGTTATAATGGTGTATTAAACAGTTTACTACTCTGTTGCTGTAATTGGTTAAAATGTTATAGTAAACAGTTTATTGCTCTGTTGTTGTAGTTGGTTATAATGGTGTATTAAACAGTTTATTGCTCTGTTGTTGTAATTGGTTATAATGGTGTATTAAACAATTTACTATTCTGTTGCTGTAGTTAATTATAACAGTGTATTAAACAGTTTACTATTCTGTTGCTGTAGTTAATTATAACGGTGTATTAAACAGTTTACTAGTCTGTTGCTGTAGTTGATTGTAATGGAGTGAGCTCCGAAGAATGTAATGGATGAAATAGATTGTGA